GGGGGGACCGGGAAGCGTTTGCTTCGAGTAAGAAATTGGGGGATTAGGCTTTAGTGGTTTGGAGGTCACCATGTGTTGGTGACCGTGGGGTTGTTGTTGTTTGAGTGGTCGGCGCCCTTTCCGGGGTTTGTTGGAGCCGGGGAGTGGCTTAGGCCGTCTGGGGGGAACGCGTTGGCCGTCTTGTTTTTGCTTTTGAGTTTTTGTTGCCCCTTCTCTTTTCCTTTTGTGTAAAAGTCTGTTTATTGGTACGCTCCTATCAATAAAACTTCAGCTGCGTTTGAGATTTTGTTGTGTTCGTCCGTTTTTTTATTGTTCCCCATCTCAGGGTTTACAAGATGTCGATTGATTACCAGCTCGCCTGCACTCTCTCACTGCTTACAAGAAATAACTGAGGCCTATCGGATGGCGACAAGCCCGGAAAACATAACCACCCCGTCCATTTCGCTCTCAAGAAAGGAGATCATCTTTCTGAGGCCCTTAAAGGGCCCATGAAACGATTTTTGGGTTGGGATAAATCATTTTAGATTGGGATTTTACTAATAGCACATCGTACAGTGGACCAAAAGAAAAAGGTAGAAAGTCAAAAGCCTGACTTTCAGTGCGAAAATTTGAAAACAGAGCGGACTATTTCGTACCTCCTCCCCTTCGCAACCTCTCTGCTTTTCACTGTGATACAACCGCGGTCCCAAAAGCGCGTTATCGGGTCCAAACTGACGTCACACGCAACCGGACCTCACTTATTCCCTTCACCCCTAAGCCCACATTGTGGTGGAAGCTACGCGCTTGCCGGACCAATCAGCCGCCTCCCTTTCATCACCTGACTTCATTCTCCGCAGCCACATTTGCCACGCTCACGTGGCAAGTGTGGCTGGCCCAACGAGCACGTAGCTTCAACAGCACTGTCAGTTTCGGAATGAACGGGGTGGGGAAAGCAACTTTTGTCTGAATTTGGAGCGACGGGCTAATCTTCTAGGGGGAGAATGGATGTGTCCGGGATTACATAAACGAGAGTGCGAGCAAGAGGGGACTCCCCCTTCTCGTCTTCTTCAACTGTTTGGTGGAATGCGCGATTTATGAGTTGAGGAGGAAAGCGAAACTGGAAAAAGTTGGAAAAGCGTTTCATGACCCCTTTAATGGAAGCCGAACGCTGACAGACTAGGCAAGGCGACAAGGTCACCGGCAGAAGCGGCCTTTCCTTTTATGCGTTGTTGATGCCCCTTCGACCTCGCCTTTTGCAAATCCTCCCCACCTGCTTTTGCGTCTTCGTGTGGCTGTCAGCGAGCGCGACAGCCGCTTTAAGCAAATCAAAAGGATGAAGCGAAGCGCGTGACTCAGCGTGACCTCTCTACATAGGACGCGTAGGACAAAAACGTTTGGACGAAAATTTGTCACCTGACTTTGTCTGTCACGCTGATGGGATCTCTGGGGCTGTCGTTTTCGCCGTTTGCCTAGTTATAGAAATAAGCAGGCCAAGTAGGTCCGGTTTTCGAACTGGGCTCTTCAGTGTTCTGTTGCTTTCGTGCGTTGCAGACGCGGCCGTGATTTTTCGTCGGAAACGGTCGGAATACGTCCATGCCAATTTTTCGGTAACAGTCATTTTTTGCACCGGAGTTCGTGGAATACTTGTGATGTGTTTGTTGGACACGCTTCGACAAAAACTGCTCTTCGCCGACAACGAGACGTCAGTTGAATGTGCGCAACCTTCTTCGTCGAATGTGTTTGTGGCGTGCCTGAGTTGGATTATGCATCTATCAAGGACTACATGATATCGCTCTTTTATTAGTAAGTGCACTGTAAGCATGATTCTGATAGTCGTCCTGCTTTCCTTTAATTCTTCGCGGTTTTACGTGTGATGAGTTTTGCTTGGCATGAGGACAGTGTTAATTGTATTTTATAATTTGCTTTTCGTTTTACAGAGAAGTTTGACCTTTGTAAATATGTTGAGAATACACTGTGTGTAATGATAGTTGTTTAATAAACTTCTGGGGGCGATCGAAAAAACTTGTTTGTCCGTATAAGTGATTGGATACGCAACAAATGACATGCAACGTACACATACTTGCACGACGTTCGGCCAATACGAAGCAGACGCATCGTAGAGTTTTCGCACAATATTACGCGAACGCTAGGCCGGGGCGAAACAGCTGTACGGCAATACCTGCCGGGTATCAAACGGTGGTGCAAAACTGGACAGTTGAGCGATATTGGAACCGACTTTCGGCCGGCACTGGCACGATACTGCAAAGTATTGCCGTGCTGCTTGGGAACGGAGGTGATGACATCTTACCATCGTGCTTCCAACGCTTATTTATTTTATTTCTCTTCTGGGACGCGTAAAAGAGCACTTCTGTGACACACCAGAGATATTCGAAACTTGGGCTGGCCTCTCGGCTTTCTTTGCCACTTTTGGCACTTATTTGGCATTTCAGTGGGTAGCCAGAAAAGAGCCAAACTTCGGCATGCCCCGAATCGACAAATTAAGATTTACTGCGGCAGTTATGGCTCAAGTCCTGCACTTACTTTGGCACAACTGTGGCGGACCAGAGAAAAGCCAAACTCGGCGAGGCTGAAATACCGAAATTAGGCGTTGCTTTGGTAGTTATGGCTCAAGTATGGCACACTTCGGCACTCCTGTGGCGTATCAGAGAAATGCCAAATTTTGGCGTGTCCCAAATACAAAATGAGGCATTGCTCTGGCAGCTATGGCTGAAGTATGGCACCAACTTTGGCGCTCCTCTGGCGGACCAGAGAAACGCCAAACCTTGGCACGTCCCAAATACCGAAATTAGGCGTTGCTCTGGCAGTTATGACTGAAGTATGGCACCAACTTTGGCGCTCCTCTGGCGGACCAGAGAAACGCCAAACCTTGGCATGCCCCGAATTCCCAGTTTAGGTTTTATTATGGCAGTTATGGCTCAAATCTGGCACCAACTTTAGCGCTCCTCTGGCGCACCAGAGCAACGCCAAACTTTGGCATGTCCAAAATACCCAAATTGGGCATTGCTGTGGCAGTTATAGCTCTAGTATTGCACTACTTCGGCAATCCTGTGGCGGACCCGAGAAAAGCCAAACTTTGGCACGTCCCAAATACCGAAATTAGGCGTTGCTCTGGCAGCTATGGCTGAAGTATGGCACCAACTTTGGCGCTCCTCTGGCGGACCAGAGAAACGCCAAACCTTGGCACGTCCCAAATACCGAAATTAGGCGTTGCTCTGGCAGTTATGGCTGAAGTATGGCACCAACTTTGGCGCTCCTCTGGCAGACCAGAGAAATGCCAAACCTTGGCATGCCCCGAATTCCCAGATTAGGATTTACTCTGGCAGTTATGGCTCAAGTATGGCACCAACTTTGGCACTCCTCTGGCGTACCGGAGAAGAGCCAAACTTTGGCATGCCATAGGATCGCCCAACTAAGGCTATAGTTAGGCACCGTACTTTGGCACTGATGAATGCCATGGTGCAAAAACCTAACTGTGCCAAAGTTGGGCCCTTATGTTTGCCAGACCTTTGCCCAAGTTGGGCATTCCTCTGGCGTGCTACCTGGGGAGACAGGCCTTCTTCAAGACTTGTTGCGAAGATCGGTTACAGAGTTGTTTTCGGTTTCAACACTCGGGACGCGCCACTTGTTAGATCACGTGTAAAAATGCCCAAGTAAAAAACGCTGCTACACTCCGTCCCACTACACGCCTGGCCGCAGCAGACGCCGCCAGCGCTCGATGCCAAACCAAAGGCCGCGTCAGTTTTCGTGACCCCAGGAGCGGAGTGCCGCCTCGTACGGAAGGCGCGGTCACGTTCACATAGTTGGATCGACCCAGATGGCCATCAAGTTCAACGCACACCGCGGAAGAACGCAAAGCCAAAGAAAGCACAGTAAAAACAAAAGGAATGAAATAATCGCACACAGTAAAACAACGCCAAAACGCATAGACAAACCCCCTGCATAGAAAAGCAAAAAAAGGAAATATGCGGACACAGTAAATCAACGCCAACGCGCATAGAGAAGCCCCCTACATTAAAAGAAAAGCATTCAAAAAGCGCACACAGTAAATCAAGCAAACGCTCGGCCAAAGCGCATAAACAAACCCCTGCATTAAAAAAACACAAAAAAAAACACACAAACGCAAATTTAAAGGTGTTAACCGCAGTCCCAGAGTATTCAAAAAGGAGCAACAGGTGGAAAATGCCCGTTGAAGGTTGAATCATCGACAGGTAATACGGAACGGTACACGGATAATTGCAGGGGTTGTACTCAGAGGATTGATTTAGCTATATATATTTTGATGAGTTGCGCGGTGTGATTAAAATCACGATTTATATCGTAATAAAAGTTAATGATGTAAACCATTTTAATTTTTTCTCCACCCAGCTTTAATGAGAAGTTTCCATGGATCCTGCTTCTCCTGCGGGTGTGTGTAGCACCTTGGGTTCTTTTCGGATTGCCAGCGGCCTTTTCTGCCAACTAAAATAATCGCGAGCGGAATACATTAAACGCGCCCGCTACAATAGCTTGCTCCCGTGCTATGTCGTGACGTCATACTCGTGATGCAGCACTATCCCGTGCTGCGTTCTATTTCGATCCGTGATGTTGTTGCATTCCGTGTGGAGCTACGCTTTGCCATTCGTGAGCCACCTTAGCGCCCCGAGCATCTCCTGGTATCGTACGCTCCTCTGAGCCGTACGTGGTCCTGCGTCTTCTGCTCTTTCCCGTCTGCTCCTCGTGTCGCCCAGCTGAGGCGTCGGGCTCCGGATCCCACAATCCAGGGCTTGATTCCCACTGTGCCGCTCGGCATATCTTGCTTCAACTGAATATTTATCTATAGTTATGATATATGTATGGTTAATATATGGCCTCGGCTGCCGCGAACGCTTTTTGTTGAACTTGAGGGTATCACTTTTTTCCATAAACTCCTGCCCATAACCACATTTTCTAGTAATCAAGATTATTTACATAAAAAAATAATTCAAATTTACGAAAGCTGTATTTATTTATTTTTATTGCAGGTTCTGAGCAAAGGAATTCGTTCGGCACCAGCAGTCACCGCCCTCAAAACTTCACAATGTCGGAACAGGGCGGGAGTTCATCGGCGTCTGGCGCCTCATCTGGGACCACGAAGAACCAAAGCATGTCGGTAAGTACACCCCTCTGATATTTTATGTGTACGACAATAAGGCTAGAGCTACGTACGCGATTCACTGGCTATGAAACTAGGTCATGCTCGTGGCGTCTGCTTACCAATTGGCATCGGGAACATTCTCCCACAATGACGAACAGGGAGACTGTATTCGGCATCTTCTTCATGCTTAAACGCTATCCCTGACGACAGGGTACATGTCAACATGAATTACAATGTTTTTTTTTTGTCTTTTTTTTTTTTGTTTTTTTGCTGTTTTCTTTGCCGTTAAAATAATGTACGCAGTACCCACCGCTTTGTCTCCGCACAAATGTAGCACTTGGGGTGCCCAGCCGATGGCAAAGTTTTAGAAGTTTCTGATATGTGACTCTAAGGTGATACCCAATTTCTTTTTACACATTTATTGTAAAAAAATGAACTCCATTTGGGGTAGCCGACGACATTAATATTCCTGAATCCTTGGTCTTTTTCGGCCGCCTTTTTTTTTCATAAATGAATAGGTCGAAAAATTGTTTATAACTTTCAAATCAGGAAACGGCAAGTTCTAAACCCTTGCCGTCTTACCTTGAGAGATGCGTTGCTTTCTAGAGAAGTCTTAAAGTTCAGACATAGTCCGTAGTAGCAATATAGAGCGCAAGCACGCGCCGCGCCGTCGCAGCGCAGCACGACTTAGCGCTTGGTGCGCTAAGTCGTGGTACCTGAGCTCGAGGTTGGAGCACGAACGAGCCTTAAAGGGGCACTGACGTCCCAAAGGTCGTAATGGTTTTGTGGTCTAAAACTATCAAAGTAATAGACTTTGACATACACAAAAATACCACAAAGAAACAAAAATGAAAGCCGCCCTGTAAAACTGAATCCGAGCGCAGCTCTTGAGGAAGAGGAGAGCGGGTGCTAGGGTGAGGCTATACCCCTCCTCCCTCTACTTCACTTCGTAATCCTGCCTGCTCCTCCTCCTCCCCCTCCTTCTTCTTCACCTCCTCCTCCTCTCCTCATCCTTCAACATCCCCCTAGTTTCTTGCTCCTCCTCCCTTTTCTCCTCCTCCTCAAAAGGGGGATCACGTGACCTCGGGGAGGTCACGTGACCGGGGGGATGGGAGGTCACGTGACCTCACGGTTACGCCGACGGCGACACCAACGCCGCTCAAGCCGGAAACGGGCGCCTGAGAGCTGCGCTCTAGAAAATATTCACCCACGATCGCGCGGGCCTTTTTAATGTTTGGCGTTTTTCACTCCCAGTTCTCACCTCGTCACTTATTATTAGTCGTGGCGTCAAAAATTATAAAATTTAGAAGCCTTGTAGGCGTGACACGACTTCGTGTCACGTCAACCATGAACAAATTTCGTGGCAGGAGAAGAGAAGAAAGAGAAGCGGAGGAGGAGGAGGAGGAGGAGTGGAGGAAGAGGATAAGGCGAAGAGGAGGAGAGATAGAGATTCGGAAGGAATGGAGAGGGTACGGAGGAGCGGGAGGGGCGTACCCTCCCCTCCGTAGCCTCCTCTCCTCCTCCTCAAGAGCTGCGCTCTAGTTTTGCATTACAGAAACTTGTAAACTTTTTTTTTCTTTTTACTTTACAAGGGCCGAGTTCCCAAGTTGCGAATTTTGAGGGTAATGTCGAGGCACCGCTTTCAGTCGTTTCAGATAATAAAAAAAAAAATGTAGTGCATCGTTGTTACTACCAAAACAATACCTGAATTTTTTACCTGGCCAATCTAGATTTGATTATGAGACTCGCAATAAAAGATGCAGGTCGCCACATAACAGCGCGAGGTCACCGACATTGATAACAGTCGAAGCAACGCTACATTTTCTGGCCGACAGCTTCCCGGACAGTTGCGGAAATATGAACTCTATCACAACACTGCCGTATAACATCAGACGCTGGTTAAATAAGAAGCGTGTTGGTCACGTAGGGGTTTCAAACCAGGCAGCTCCAAGTGGAGAGACGCTTGCAGCGTTTATAGCCATCTTAACATAATGAACTAGACATCCATCGAACTGCCCAAGAGTCGGACACGCTTCTCCTAATGAAATGAGCAACAAATGTTAATTAAAGTCATGCTGACAAAACACCTCTTCCGTACAAACCGAAGTTGATCTTCAAGTGAAGATTATCTTTCAGTAAAGCTTAGCCTAGTTCTGAGTAAATCTAGGTAATCTAATGAAGTCTCGGCAAACATGCACTTTACTATATATAGTTTTATCTCTAATCTGAGTGGAGCCAATGTCACATGCCGAAATCAATGCTATACTTGAGACGTCACGGCGCTCTACATCTTACTGTCTATTCCCTATTATTGGTTAAACATATAGAACTTCGCAAAGACGCCGCATGTAAGTGCATGCTTGTTTTTCAGCCTTTGTGTGCGCTCTGGCTTAAGGTCAAGCCAACTATATCCTTTATCCAGGTATTACATTTTCTCAGGCTGCAATTTGTTTTTTTGTTTGATAATTAGGACGAACATAATGCCAAGCTTGACCTTCTTAGTTTAGAGTTTGGGTGCCTTGGCCGAAATACAGCAAACAAGTGCCTACTTTAATCTTCCCTACTGGTTCATCGGCTGTCATTTGGAATCGTTGCGACCAAACCGCTAAACGAATGATATTAATAGGCTTGCAGTCTGGTTGTTTGTTTGTCATGTGGGAACGTTGAGCCTGAATTGCCAAACAAGTGCCAGATCTAGGCTTGCTTGCTGGTTCCTTGGCTCGTACCTGGCATCTTAGGCTCAAGTGTTGCACTTTGGCCATTGTGTGGAAAGTAATGACTGCCATAGAGATATCAAAGAAGGTACTCCGGCACTAACTAACGACTTGGAGCGAAACTGTATCAGGTCCAAGGTAAGCCCCTAAGATTGCCAAGCTTGTACCACGTTAAGTTGGGCGTATCTAATGCGTGCTGTCTGTGTATGGCGTCGGTGAGACGCAACGTCACTACGCCCGGGAGAATATTATTTGTTGGGATTACAATCTACAGAATTTAAATCCTACTGCCCAAAAACATTTCATACAAAAGCTGTTGATACACATGCAGTGTAGCTGATTTGATAGTTCAAGGATTACCAAGAATTTCAGCAGCTGCAAGATATATAGTCAGCAATAAACAAAAATTCGCTCCTCTCTTCTCAGTGTGTGGCTGGTTTGCCGCAGAAAAGGGGGACCCACTTCTTTAATTTTCTGCGATTTCCGCGTGAACTATTCAAGGTACGATGGTACCGGTAAGGTTGTATTTGCGTTTTATTATTTTCGCGAATCAAATCAATTGAAATGTCCTCAATGGGCTTTCAAAATCATAGATGAGTAGCTGAACACTGACCTGGCCACTTAGATGCGCATAAATGTACAAGCACTCTCAAAATGGCGCAGGTACTACAGCAGCTCGTCGAGATAAAGGACCAGAAGAAGCAGTTTGGCGGAATGATGAACCACGAAGCTTCAAGAAAAAGGAAGCGATCCCTGAAAAATAAATTGGACGCTAAAAAGAAAGAAGAAAGCGACATGGGCATTCTGTACCAGTTGGTGGTCAGCAGTACGCAGATGATGCAGAAAGTCAAGTGCAATAGGGAGCATCTGGACACCAACGACTGCGACGTCATGTTCCTCTTCTGCCTCAGGGACACCATCAAGACACTAACCGCCCAGAAGGCGACTCTGGCCAAAATTAAAATCCAACAAATTCTCTTTGAGCTTCAATTCCCAGACAGCTGAACCCCGTTTATCCTTGTCACTAACCATGCATCTCGCCTCTCCAGTATGCTGATGAAAACGAAGAAAAAATGTTGTAAAGACAAAAATAAAACGAGTAACAGTTGCTGTTCAAACTTCATGTTATTTGTGTGATCAGAGCGAAACCATGCTTTCCGGCACACGGTATGGTCAGGAATTCAAGATGTCGACTGGCACATCACCATATTTGTGTGTGTGTTTTTTTTTTTTCCATAAAGCACGTTTTGTACAAACCCCATCTTATTTTGTTCAAAGGACAAATCGTGATGGCCTTTTAGTGCACGACCTTGTCAGCAGATTTTGGAAATATAACCTTGGACCAAACTGACCTTGAAATCTTGCTTTATGCTCACTTATGACCTGGAATTTTCTTAAATTACTGCGTTCGTCCTCGCCTCGACCGCCCCGAAAGAGGTCACACAAGACGAAGTAGGAAGGATCTACCGTCGTACAGTTGTACGACAGTAGCCTGTTTCTTAAGGTGTATTCACACGACGGGCCAAATTGCTGTTTTAGTCAGCGGGCCGCGCATCACGTGATCGTACGCCACCGGTCTTCGAGATCCGCCGGCGGTCTGCGGCCCGCGCTTCTCAGAAATGCCAAGCGACTTTCCTCGCCCGGACCTTAGCGGCGGACCGCGGCGTTTTTAGTATAATTGAAGCGCTAAGTCTGGCAACAAGCTGACTTCTGCTGTTTGGATTGGAATCCAAATAGAAAGTCGTTTTCTCTTGGCGCCAACTCTTGAAGACGAAGAAGGCGAACCTTTTGTTGTGCGACGATGGCGGCATGGTGCGACGATGCAACTTTTTACTTCATCGCGCTCATGAAGCAATTCCCCGCTCTGTGGGACAATAGATGCACGCACTTTTCGGTTCACTTAAGGCACCCTCGTCCTCAATAGTCAACGCCAGGGCCACCACGGCCAAACGTCTCTTTCGTTCAACCTCCATCTTGGCTCCTTACAAAAAGCCTCAAAGCAGCTCGCTGCATGCGTTTGACGGAGCTGTGAGGTCGAGAGTTAGACCGGCCCGTTCGCTCTGTCGTCTTAGTAAAACATATAAAATAGCGCAACAGAAACAAGGACAAGAAGTAAACAGTAAAAGTAAACAGGACAGGCGCTGACGCGCCTGTCCTGTTTACTTCTTGTCCTTGTTTCTGTTGCGCTATTTTATATATTTTACTAAGATGAACCAACTAGCCCAACAACGTACCTTACTAAGCTATGTCGTCTGCTCTTTTGGTCCGCCGTGTGGATGATAGTTGCAGCCGGGCGGCCCGCGGGCCGCGCATTACGTGATCAATCGGTCCGCGGCCCGGTTCATCGTGTAGATACACCTTTAACGTCCTGTCGCTGACCATGCCCGAGCTCGCAGCCCGAGCTCTGCTACCCGCGTTGTCCTCTTCTTCTGCTCACTTGTCACCCGTGGGCCCATGTCCGGCACCCTCGTGGCCGTGATCCTCACACCTCCCCTCGCCCCTCGTCACCTTTCAAACGTGAGACGGCGGAGGCGGTTTGATGATACGAATTATTATGGGACGTCAAAGAGGAAGTCGCCGGGTTCGTATACGGAGCGTTCTCGATGGCAGCCGGAACAGCGGCGGTCGTAGAGCAGGCCGCAGTTTGACGTCAACAGGGACTGCGCGGCGACGGCTGCGGGCCTTGGACGGGGTTGGCAGCGGCGGTGGGCCCCCGGGAGGATGAATGAGGCCTGGGGCCTCGGGTGCGAGCGGGTTGGTGCAGTCCCGTCGGAGCTGCTGAACTGCCACCTCCACATCGGCATGAAGAGACAGCGTCTTCAGCCGCTCCTGGTGCACACTTCCAGCCTTGTGTATCTACGGGCGTACGAGAGGAACATCGCACAGACAGTCGCTGTTCTTAGACGCAGTGGGCATACCAGAGTTGGTAGCGTATGCCCTCAGAATGGCGGCAGGATGGTGTCATCGGGCTGCCCGGTTTCCGGCTTAGATTGCTATTTCCGTCGTCCACAAACAAAGTGGACTGCTCCTTGATCCTCGGACGCCGTCCACGTCGCTACAGTGTGGCCGGGGGGCCTGCTCCAAGCTGGTCTCCCCGCCGCGGAAGGTTCGTAACGGCTCGAGGAGCATTTCTTACCCATTCGCATCATACTCGAGGAAACGTGTCAAGGCGGCCTTACCACTAATCCTGATAAAGTTCAGTTGGCCTCGCTGTAATCAACCTTGTTGGCTTTGTCGTAGATAAGTGCACGTTGCGCCCGAATGAATATAAGTGGAGCGCAATCACGGGGTATCCATCCCCTATCTACGTCAAATGCCTACAAAGGTATCAGGTGTTGATTGCGTGTTATGAAGATTTCATTTCACAATGTGCCACGATAACGGAATCACTCAACCAATTGTTTCGCAAGCAAAAACGAAGCGGTGTTGGGGGCAACAGCAGCAAACTGCAGTTGCGTGCCTTTCGAGGGCTGTGATTCCAAACTTGTTTCTAAATGTGCCCGCCTTGAATCCGACCAAATCAATTACAGACAAGGAGCTGTTCTTCTGCAGGAACATGACTGCGTTGATCCTAAAGGACCGACCGAACATCGTCCGGTTAGTATCCAAGTGTCCAGTTACGATGCGGCTGGGTTATACGGGTAGCATCGTAACTGATCCACGTATCCAGTTAGCATCTACCCGGACTTACAGTTAGCATGCTAACTTACTCTAACTGAAATGGAGCGAAACTATAAAACAGCTTAAAAATTGTCTGACAATTTTTTTCGCGCCTACGAAGTACACTTTTAGAAAAAAGGGTATGGATAGTCCTCCCTTAGGGGAGCAACGGTCTTGTAACCTATGTTCCTTTAGAAAGGGAGAAACTTTCGTCTCTGAAGCAGGGGAGCAAAGTTTCTCCGTCACTTGCATCTCAATATGGCGGCCCCAAATCGAGCATATCGAGCCCAATAAGCCTTGACGAGGACGCTACGTCTCTTGTACGGGACGAGAGCAGCAGCAAATAAAAGCGCAACACAAGCTCCCCTCAAATTGTGTTTATTTCCGAAGCCAGATTCCCCCCCAGGTACAGAAACTCGCGTTTCGAAAGCAGTTACTCAGTCTTCTCGTCGACAGCACTGCGATGTTAAACGGAGACAACCGATACCCAGTTACTTTGCGATATTTAGGTGTTACTTTGGTGTTCCTCGAGTCACAATTCCTTCGTCAACCACACATCACGGAGAAGGGCAAGCTCAATCCGCGAAACCAAAAGCCGCTCTCGAAAGAACAAACTCGAAGCCGCTGTTTATCGCGCAGCGTGAAAGAAGGTCAAATCGCTAGCCACCAGATGGCGGGGTCAAGCAGAGTAATTGCAAGTAGCTACGCTAGGTGGCGCTAGGTACCGCCCAATTCATGTTTTACAAAAAAAAATTTGCTTCTCTCAGGCCACTACTCTGCTTAAGATCCTCTACTATACACACATTACGCTTATTACAAGCATCAGGTGAACAGACATTGAGCACATACACGGCGCCCGCAAATATCAATACAACGGAACAGCACGCTAACCCGAACGCTACAACCGTGCTCTGCGTTTCCGTCTTTTATACTGGTCGTTTTGAACGCACGGAACTTTTCGGTGACTCCCCAAGCAATAAAAAATATTGCCGGCATGTTGATTTTTTCACGGCAATGTCGTACCTCTGAGAGTATTTTGAATGGCTCAGGGGATGAATCTCTAATTAAAAAGTAAACGCTCGATCATGCCGTAATTACATGAACGCCAATAAATCAAGCCGCTGCAATGCGGTTCGACGCCATGAGTTTGTTAATTCACACGGCACGTCGTAGCCTGTATTTCTATTGGTTTTTCTATTTGTGCTGTTCGCGCAAAGCTGCAATTGCCGTCTTGAATTAATCTCTGTAGAGCGGATATTCACTCAGCTGGAAGTGATGCTTCGCGGGCTGAGAAATCGCTTTTCGATCATCTTCAATGGAGTCATAGCCGCGACTTGCAGCAGGTACGGAGCTACGCCGTGGCGAACCCGAAAACTTCTAGCACTCATCCCAGCGCGCCACTTGGAGGGCAGTTCCTCCAGGAACCGTAGTATATTTAAACAGAAAAGTAAAGGGTAGCTTTTTTTTTCGATTTTACCTATTATTGTTTCTTAATGCCGAAATTCCATATTGTAAATATACGTACTTTCCGTCACGATTTCGTACTATTCAGTCCTTGTCCCAGAGCGCAATCGCTCTCGGGAACGAGACAATTCCGACAGTCACATTGGCCACTGTACGATAGGAGCCTCTACTACTCAGACCAGCGTTCCAACATGACTACCCGCACGTTGATTGATTGCAGGTAATTTCTCAAGTGGTATTAAACTTTTTAATATAAAGCGGAATGTGAACCTGCGACACCCCGCCCCCTCCGATCACGGCCCGACCAGCGGCATCAATGCCCAACAGTTTACGATCTCATATTCTTGTTACACCACTGATACGCGAACACACGGTAAGATCGGCGATAATTCCAGTCTTCTGTTCACAACCCACAACACTGCCATCACGATGTTGCAGCTATGTTGCTGACCCATAGAAACACAGAACCACGTTGAACGCCGGTTGCACACGGCATCGGAAAACAGAACCGAACTCAACACGGAAGGCACCCAGGCAGCCGGCAGCAAAACCTGCTTGTCTTGGACGCAGTTCCTGCGGTTTCCATAACGTCGGAAACGTCGACACAGTTCAGCGTGGTTTCGCTACTGTAGTTCCGTGCCGCGCTAGTCCCGAAATCCGGAGACGGTCATCCCCCAGTGTACGTGGCGCCGCTGGCACTGCTCCGGAACTTCACTGTTTCTAGCGGCTTCGTTTGCTCGTTTGATAAAATTAGTGATAAAAACGTCAATACAACCGAAATGTTCTGCACGTTTAGACTAGAAGACGGAATTACAGGCGGCCTTCGCTGCCGCTGAAGCTCAATCAACTCAACAGCTATTTATTAAACAACGTGCGCGACCTGCTCGAAACACGAAACCGAAAGAAGATGAGTCGGGAGGGCGAAAGCTTTCTCCCGTCTGCCTGGAGAAGGAGAAAAGCGTTTCGTTGCTCCCCTTTTCTCGTGTCCGCTTG